GGTCCCAGGATGAGAAGAGCGAATTCGTGACGTAGAGACGTTTTCCGTCTAGGCTCAGCTGGATCATTTGCGGACCGCCCCTTAGCTCCTTACCCTGCGATTCCGTGCCGGAAATTCGAGATAGAAAGAAAAGTATTAGACGCATGGCATGGCAGACAAGGAAACTGGGCTAGCACGCGGACGGACGGGCATACAGGGAGGGAAGTACGAAGGAACCCGGAGAAAGGAATTCGCCACAACTGTGCGTCATAATACATGAGTTGTAATACATTAGACTTACCTTGACAGTGGGCACTTCAGGCGGCGAATTGCCGTTCTTCTCCGTGACAGCACCTCCCTCGCGTATCACCCCCCCCAGAAACACCTGCCCCACGAGCTTCGGATTCGCGGGGTCGGAGATGTCGTACTGGCGCAGATCGCCTTGCAGCCAGTTGGAGAAATAGAGGAAGCGATCGTCGAGCGAAATGAGAATGTCGGATATGAGCCCCGGGAGTTGCGGGAGAGCCCAGCCGTCCACCTCCTTGGGCTCCACGCGGATCACCACCTGGCGAGGCACCGGGGTATTAGGGGAGCAAATCCGGCCAATTTGGGGGGTAACTGGGGAAGAATCCTGTAATAAGGGGGTTTATAGTCACATCTAGCTGTGTGTGGGTGCGGCATGCGAGGGAGAAGAAGAGGAAGCGATCGTCGAGCGAAATGAGAACGTCGGATATGAGCCCCGGGAGTTGCGGGAGAGCCCAGCCGTCCACCTCCTTGGGCTCCACGCGGATCACCACCTGGCGAGGCACCGGGGTATTAGGGGAGCAAATCCGGCCAAATTGGGGGGTAACTGGGGAAGAATCCTGTGAGAAGGGGGTTTATAGTCACATCTAGCTGTGTGTGGGTGTGGCATGCGAGGGAGAAGAAGAGGAAGCGATCGTCAAGCGAAATGAGAATGTCGGATATGAGCCCCGGGAGTTGCGGGAGAGCCCAGCCGTCCACCTCCTTGGGCTCCACGCGAATAACCACCTGGCGGCGAAGTGGGTACAGGGAAGAATCCCGCACAATTAGGGGTATTAGAGGAAGGATCCTGTGCACCCAAAGCTATAAAATAGGAAAATCAGTAACGAAAAAGCCAATAGGGAAATGAGCTGAAAGGGGTATCAGCGTGTTCAACGGAAGGGTTATCAGGGGAAACCGTTACGCACATCAAGATATGGCGCGTACGTTGATCAGCCGAAGCGCGCACCACTAGGGTCATGTCGACCCCTTATTCCCCCCCACCCCCTGGTCACTTACATCGGTGTTCCATTTTCCCGCCTCGTCCTTGCTGATTCGAATGATATTGCTGCTCAGCGCAGCGCCGACAAATCCAACCGCCTTATCCGGATTATGCAGAAATCGAATCTCCAGGGGAATTAGCCCCTCGTTCCCCAGATCGACGGTCTGAGTCAGCTCGTGCGTCGTCCAATCCCAGAAGTACAAGTGCCGCCCGTAATCCTCCGCCACGTGTCCCGGATCAAATCCCTTGGTGAACCGCTTCGGCGCGCCCCAGGAGCTACTAACGAGTACGTTATGCCGCGGCTGGTACCAGTAGTCATAATGGAATGGAAGCTTCGCCTCGCCTTCCTTCTGCCAGCGGCCCTTGATTTCGAAATCCTCGCTCAGTAACAAAAACCCCGTGTCGCCCGCGTTACCCTCCGAGTCGCCCAAAGCGGAGATTAAGATTTCTCCAGAGCCCAGGCAGTGCGAGGTATGGAGGTACGCCAGCCCGGTTTTCGCGGCGATATCTTCGGCCTGCACGACCTTGTGGATGGATGGCGCGCGAGGATCGGTCGCGACATCCACAGCGTAAACGCGGCTAGACCTGTGATTATAGCGAAATTTGGAAACAAAATAATCGAGGTGTGAGCTTCGTCGTGAATAACCGGTGCTTCAGACATGCACGGCACGGGGGGGAGGGAAAGGCAATTCCAGAATCGCACTGGTTGGATTGAATTCCACAATTCAAGGGGAATACACGTACTGCAGAGCTGGCAGAACGAGGTATTTGCGCGACTTGGTGGGATCGTTAACGCACGAGCTACACGCGTTCCATCCTGTGACGCACAAACGTGGAAGTACAAAAAAAAACTTTCTATTGCAGTATGACTAAGCAGCACCGAATCCGATACCGAAATTAAATGATGCAGGCAAAGGCCGGTGGCGAATAACTGCTTGAACCATGCAATTCGTTCACAAAAAGTTGAAAGAGGAAATAATTCACTTCGTACCTGAGTGATGGAGCTCGTCGTTGAGGTGCGGCATGAACAGCCGGTGAATCACTTGACCGAAGCTCTCCGATTCCGGATCCACGTCAATTGTTGCCAGGAAATCCGGCTTCTCGATGCCCGTCCCGGTGTAGATACCCGTCGTGTACAGCAGCTTCTCGCGCGGCCCCTCCATGGCTTTTAGCGGGGATACGTATCCGGGGCCTTTACCGCAGCAAGAACCCGCAGCCACACCGTCAGCGCCGGACTTCCCGCCACCCATAGTTGTCTGCGTTAGACTGGAAACTAAGCAGCAGAATCTCCAATTACGGCCCTAAGACCGACGCTTGAAAGCCTGCCAAAAAGGCGGACCAAGAATCACCACGACAATCTCCGCTGCTCAATTGAGTGGGGGGTGGCAGAATCGGGGGAGGGCGTCGGGGTGAGGGCGAATTTGGGAATGGGGAAGTGAAGGGAGTCGCTCGCGCTGGGGCGGACGAATTCAGTGCATGGCTTTCGCAATCACCAGGCATCCAAACCCGACCATACCCTTTGCATTCCTTCTCACCAATCGGGGGCCAGTACCCAACGCGCTTCCAAACTTGCGCTCGCGTGCGGTTTGTCCATATGCGTCGGAACGGAACCTGCAGCATTTCAGGTGTGTTGTGTGAATTCGTGAAAGACCAGCGCGGAACCACCACTGAGTAAACAGATAGAAAGAGCATCTGAACATTCGCAGTATTATCACTTTAGTGAATTTGATTATATCAGGGAGGGGCAATGGCGGGGAAAGAGCGAAAGAAACACTAAAAGTGACACATTACTGTAGTCGTGCATTATCCACAACAGCATTCTAAACGAAACCATCCCCAACCCTGTTCTCTCGTATTGGGATAACCACCAGCCGTGGTGTCGTTTTATGCAGACTTCACGGACAGTGCGGCCCGAACAGGTCTGCTGGTTGGTAAGAAGGAGGACGTAGGAAAAGAAGGTAACGCTTCATAGATACGCGTCGCGCTTTATGGTTCCTTGACGTTGACGGTGGAGTAAGAATTGCGTTAGTAGCTCTCCGCTTGACTGCAAAAGCAGGGTTTCATGACCTTCAAGTTCACCTTATAGAGGTTCTTAAACGAGCAAATTGGTAAGACTGAGCTCGTGCGCAGAGGCAGCCGAACATCTAACTGCGAGGCTAAAGCATTCGCTCCTACTCTCCCTCTTCGACGACAATCTATATATAGATATATTATCTTACGAATACGCGTGTACATTTGCGTCGGTCCCCTGTCGCATCGGTACAATGCAGCCGCATGGGAACTGTCGCCCGCCGTGCGAAAATTCCGCCGCATTCCCTGCATTGCCGGCATTCCCAGGGTTAGACGATCCGTCTCACTCTGCTGCCTCCACCCCTCTATACCAGCAGCAACGGCAGCAGCAGGAGCAGCAACGACAGTTACAGCAGCAGCAAATGCAGCAGCATAACCAACTGCAGTATTATCCGCAGCAGCAGCAGCAGCAGCAGCAGCAGCAGCAGCAGCAGCAGCAGCAGCAGCAGCAGCAGCAGCAGCAGCAGCAGCAGCAGCAGCAGCAGTGCAACCTCCTCTACCGCAATCCCAAGCTGCCCCATACCCACTGGACACATTTCAACCTCGAAACCCTAATATCTCGCGGCCCGAGGCGACAGCGTCAGCAGCGCCAGCGGCGGCGGTGGCGGCGGCGGCGGGTTTGGAGGAGTGGTTGTTGCGACAGGATGCTCGTCACGCCGGTCCCTCTACCGAGCAACTAGCGCTGCTGGAGCTTCTGGCACAGCAGCAACATCTGCAGCAGCAGCAGCAAGGAAGACAGCAGCAGCAGCAGCAGCAGCAACATCAACAACAGGAAAGGTCGCAGCAGCAGCAGATTCCACCGGGAGTGCTTCTGGCGCTCCTTCAGCAAACCCTTCTAGGGACCTCCAGATCTCATGGGCCCATCAGTCAGGGTTTCATCGATCAAGGCCCCACCAATCAGGGGCCCACCAATCAAGGCCCCACCAATCAGGGGCCCACCAATCAGGGTCCTTCAAATCAGCGCCGCATGAATCAACCCAGCTTTCCCGTATCTGACATTGTGGGTCGCGGCATTGCTGCTGTATCAATGCGCGCAGCTGGGGGACGCGAGCCTCAGGAAAGGGCCACTAGTGCCGACAGCAGCAGTGCTGCTGGCACTTGCGTGGCGCCTCCTGCTGCCACGGCGACTGCTGGGGGTGCTACGGCACCAGTTGCTGCTGCTGCTGCTGTTGTCGCCCCAGCAGCTGTCGGAGAGAACAGGATCGGATTGCGCAACAAGAAAGAAAAGAGGGGAGAGGAAGGCGAGGGGATGAGGGGAGGAGGAGGGCAAGAGGGGGAAGCCAATTTGAGGGGGATTGGTGCTCGGGAGGAGGGGTTCGGAGTGAGGGGGAGAGCAAGTGCGAGGGAAGTAGGTCAAGTGCAGGCAGAGTGCAAGCCGTTAACAAGTGTTGTTGAGGCGTCTCAGCACCCACTTCAACCCCTTCCTGAACCTCTGAATCAAACCCTGATTGATCCTCTGCCTGAAAACCTTCTTGAAAGCTTGTCCCAAGCCGTGCCCCAAGCCCTACCTGGCGGCTTGCCTGAATCCTTGCATGAAGGCCTACCTGAAGGTTTGCCTGAAGGTTTGGCTACAGGCTTGCCCGAGCATGTGGAGGTGGAGTGGCGGCCGCGCACGCGAACCCGATGCGACGCCGGCGCGATCGCGAGAGGCGTGATCAAACCGCGGAGCATGAAGGAGAGGCGGCGGCGAGACAAGATCAGGTGAGCTTCCGTCCGGCGGATGCACCCCTTTCTTTGTCCTACTTCTCCCCCCGTCAACCCTCCCTTCCCCCCTCCCCTCCTTTCCTCCGTTTTTTCTTCCCCGCTTGCACCACCAGCCATATGCTGGGCCACCTGAGGCAAGTACCTCCCTCTCACCATGCTGCTAGTAGTGACACACATCCATTGATTCAATCCCTTCCCTTCCCCCCTTTTCTTTTTGCCTCCACCCTTTCCTTTTCCCCCTCCCCACGCTTGAACCCCCAAACCCCTTTCCCCTTTCTCGAGCAGCGATGGGTTGCGGCAGCTGAGGCAAGCACTCCCCGCCATGCTGCTGGGGCCGCGGCAGGACATGGCGTCGATGATTGAGGCAGCCATTCAACACATTGGCAGTCTCGAGGTAAGCTGCTGGGCTTGGCTGGGCTGGGTTGGTGTGGGTTAAAGTGGGTGGCTGTTTGCAGCTCGTCTTTGTGCCCCCTCCCACTTACATTGTTTTGTTATCTTACATTGCAACACAAGTAATAGCTGTTATTAGTATTTATGTTTTTATTAGCCCATTATCCACGAACTTGAATGACATCCGCCTGCTTTTCCTTTTCATTCTTCTTTTCGTTGCACTGTTCTCTCATGTGCCAGTCCCGTATCCAGGAAATAGAGGCAGGCGGGGATGGGGATGGATCAGAAGGGGAGTCCCAAAAAAAAGAGACTGTGAGTGGGCATGAGACACCTGGGAGTGGGCTTCGGGATGTAAAGGCGGAGGAAATGGAAGGGGAAATGGAAGAAGACATGGAAGGCAACTCTGCAAATGAGGAAGATGCTGACAATGATGATGGCCATGATTCGCATGCCGACATATATTGTAAGGACTGAAACTTAGAGTTGGAAAAGTGTTTTAGCAATAGCAATAATCTCAACCGTTTGTTCACTGTGAAATACTGCACTCATCATAGCTGCTAGTCCACGTTTGACTTATGTTTTGAGAAAACTCATCCGCCTCTGCAGTTGCGACACCAAGCGCAAGAGAGAATATTCCACCGCCTATGGGTGACTACAGCGAGACGACGACAACGACATTCTCACGCGCGGAGGAGCTCTCGACTGTAGACTTGAACCGTCATCTTCACGCGCATGATCCATCCACCTGTTGATTGGCTGTTATTTGCTCATTCAATCGAATCTGATGACTTGGACCATGGGAATCAGATTCGTCAGATCAGCAAACTCTGTGGAGAGAATGGCGACTTCGCTTTCTTCTTGTCGCAGAGCTCGAATACGAAGGACTACCCAAACTGTTACACCCAAGCATGAAATTCGCCAGTTACGGGATCAATAGCCGAATCAAGTTACAAGATTCTGCGAGGAAATTCGTGAGATGCACAAGATTCGTTACTTGCCTGTTCTATAGCAGCGAACAGAGGAGCTTCCATCGCGAACGGGTTATGTCATAACTCTGATATTCATGCGAGAAATTGGTTCCTTCTTCCGATTGAACCCCTCACGATTCACTGTTCTTGCAGCTTTCGGCTTGTCTTGGGTGCAGCATTGACTCAATCAATCCACACGACCCAGCCGTACGCCATCACGCGCACTTCGCCTGTCTACTGGCCCGTTTTTCACTCCACGCTTCGCCATCCCTGTCATTTTCCAATGCCCACTTGGAACAGCTGACTCTCTCACCGCCAGCAGCATACAGCTGGTGTGACCGATCGCCCGCGTCTCGGAAACTCAAATCTCTTTTCCCACCAGCTTTTCGTGAACGAGTCCTTGTTTCCTTGAAACCAGGGTCCACACGATCACCACACACTGAACCACCACGAGCCCCTGTCCCGCCCATTTCCGTTTCACACTGAACCTTCAAATAGAAAACCCGTCTTGGCCAAAGTTACCCACCCATTCCCGTCACTCTGTCCTTTGTCTTTGCTGGCCCGATTTCCCCACCAACTTTGCCAAACCCCCAGACTCCCAGTCTCCCACTCGTTCACATTCCTTGTGTTCTGTCCTTTTCCTTCTGGCTCATCGCATTTTGATTTCCCTCGCTCCAATGTCCCAACCACACGAGCATCAGCAGCAGCAGCCGCGACAGGAACAACTGCAGCAGCCGCGTGCTGACTTATCATTTCACGAAGCCGCGAATTTGCTGCTCGACTCAGAACATCTCGATTACTCCCCCGCGTCGCTGCTGCTAGACGAAAGCCTAGGTTTATTCGGGCAAACCACTAATAGCTCCAGAAATAACGTCCTTTCGTCTCCCGCTTCTGCTTACACCTGCGGCCGAGCCGCGCTTGAAGATAATATTCTCGAAGCATTGATAGAGGGGGGTTCCGCCATAAACGGGTCTCTCGCCGCAATTTCCGGAGCGCCCGCTCCCGACGGCGACTCCTCGCTCCATAGAACTGCTTCGCGTGACGCGAAACATTTGGAGAATCTCCATCGAGCCTTAATGGTTCCCAGCGACCTTGTTCGCGACGGAATTCGGCAATTAACCGCCGCAGCCGGCGCAGCTCCTCCCGGGGCGGCGGACGCGAAGGGTGTGACGCCATGAATGACCGCGCCGCGGTTGCACTGCTAGACGCGCGGCGGGAGCAGACACAGCATGACGGCGCCGGGCCGGCGTCGCGAGTCGCCACCGAAACGGCATCAGCAGCGGATGTGGAGCATTGGCTGCGGGCGCTAGAAGAGGTCAGCGGCGCGGCAGACCGCGACATTGCCGGTGCGGCGCTCGCACCAGGCTTGCAGATTCCCCTCGATTTGCTCCAACAGTCTGCCGACGCCGCGTTGTTTGCTCAGCTTCAGATGCTCTCCGCGCCGCCATTCGACGCGCCTTCGCTTGACCTTCACGACGCAGTGGTAACCAGACCTGTCACCGGCGGCGCGAGTTCCCTCGCACAGCCTGCGCGAAATTCGTTCGCGCACAACGTTCCAATGGCGACCTCGGGCCCGATCGCGCGACACGGATTTTCCGCGACGTTGGGCGCGAAATCTCCGCGCCTATCGGCCACTGGGAGCGTATCAGATCACAACCAACGGCGCTTCGCGACTCGGGGTCGTGAGGGCGACGCGAGCCGTAATTATCAGGCTTCGACCCTCCCCCGGCCTGGAGACGTCACAGTAACAACCGCGACTCAGGCTGAGCGAGAGGCCGCGTTGCCCGGCGGCGACTGTCGCTTTACCAGCGGCAGCGGTTCCATGTTCCCCCCAATCTCCCCGACCGGCGGAATTTCCCCGCATCACCCGGCGACCCACAGCCGCGGCGCGTCAGGCGGCGCCGCCGCGGCGTCTCAGAAGGTGTCGCTGCTCGCCGCCCCCTCCGCCGCCGGATCCGGCGCCCTCCCGCCGTCCAAATGCGCCAGCAGCAAGCTCGCTTTGGAAATGCTGCACAAGATGCGGCAAGGCGGGTTAGTGTTACCAGGGGTATTAGTACCCGGCCAGCCCAAACAGCCCATACTCTCAGCCGCAGATGCTGCTATGCTCGCGAATGATGGCACATTCGCGGGTTTCGACAGACTGGAAGGCGTCAAAACAGATCTTATGGCTACTCGTGCTGTTCTTGCTTCTGCTTCTGCAGCCGCTCCTGCATCTGCCCCGGCTCGTGTTTCTGCTTCTGCTTCCGCTCCTGCTGCCGTTTCCCCTTCACTTTCCGGCGTTCCCCAGGCGCTGATAGGCATGCGCGGCACTGACGCGTCGGGCGCACTGCTGATCGGGAGCCGGCCAAGCCAGCCTGCTGTGAAATCTCCAAGTGTAGCGAATCGGCCGAGCCAAGATGGTGTTAAGTCACCGCGGGCACAAGCAGGAGAGGCTGGAACCCCTGATGATGCAAGAGGCAGCGGGGATGGAAGCACGCAGGCGCTGGACTCACCCCGCGTGGGCACATCAGGTGCAGGGGGGGCAGCGGCAGCAGCAGCAGCAACAACAGCAGCAGCAGCGGCAGCAACAGCGGCAGTACGGGTGGCAGGAGTGAAAGCCCAGACGACGTCGGAAGGCCGAGGAGGTGCGGGTCCTGCCACGTCAACGCCTTTGTCAGGAGGCGGGGCGGGTTTGTCGGGTGGATTGTCGGCGGAGGATGACTGGCGGCCGCGCAGCCGAACGCGGTTTGACGCCGAAGCGATGCGGAAGGGGGAGATTAAGCCACGGAGCATGAAGGAGAGACGGCGGAGAGACAAGATCAGGTGAGCTTGATTGTGGTTGGGAGATGTGGAAGAGGGGTCAGGGAAGCGTGCGAGGTTGTGTGGTGTCATCTGGATTGTTGTACCTGTGTGATCTTGTTCCTGTGAAGCTATTGAATATTGCCAAGCAATCTGTTCATGACATTATGTTTTCCGGTGCCACGTTTCCTGCCTGTCATTCTATTCCAGCGAGGGGTTGCGGCAGCTAAGGCAAGCCATACCAGAAAGTCTGCTGGGTGCGCAACAAGACATGGGTGCTATGATCGAAGCAGCAGTCATACACATAAGCAATCTACAGGTACCGTACGTTGGGCCACTGTAGCTGCATATGTCCCATAAACTTTCGATGTGAAAATGCTGATACGATCTCTTCTTTTATGCAGGCCCGAGTGAGCAAACTCGAAAGAGGTGCAGCAATTGAAGAGATTGTGGACAGAATGCAGCCATGATAGTTAGGCTCTCGTGTTCTTAATATGAGCATTTTTTGTTGAGCTAGTTCGGTTTTTTGTGCTTATTAGTGTACACCTATAACCTCTCAAACTCTTGCAGAAGGAAGCCATGTTGTACATGTTCAATCACAATCCCCTAAAATTGTGGCTTTCAACATCATGTTTGTCGGAGAAATGAGCGAGAATCGAGCACACGACAAGCAGACCAAAATGAGGCAAGTTCGACTTCTTTGGTAGCCAGGAGGAAGGAACAAGCCATCTGGACGGACTTGATTGGCCTAGAGATAGCGCCCTTCGACAAAGTCACAAGCCACTCGATGTGCACCTTGACCACCCGTTTCGACGTCCCCCCCAGCAGCATCTGGGTGGGGGGAAGGAACTCCCCGAGGCGACGCCCCTTCTTTCCCCCCACCCACCCCTCCAACTTCTCTGCTCGTCCTCCACATCCCCGCCCCGCATCGCCGCGTCATCTTCACATGCTTAGTGCTCTGATGACGTCATATACTGTCACGTGAACCTCTCCGCAAAAACGCCCACGTCCACAAAACCGCCAAGGTTTCTCCAATCAGAGCTCTAGAAGGCCCTTCCGCCAGGGGCCATTTTCAGGTGCGATCCACACTTGCCAGGAAATCTACTCATGTGCAATCCATGTTATTTTGCAGGTATGAACATCCGATTCAGTTTTAAATCTTACTGTTTACAATTATGATTTATCCGAGATCCGATTCAAAATTACACAAACAGTCGGAGTCAGAAGGTATTTCGAATCACGCCAAGAAAAATTAGAATGGTGCACGCCCAAGAAGGGAATGCTGAAATGGCCTGCGCAGTATCCGTCACCTGTGTCAACAGTACAGTTGATCCGGCATAAGAAATCTGTTACAAAATTTCTTAGTGCGAAGCGGAATCAGTCGTCGAAATTGTGCCGAAATTATGTGACCATTCGAATTTTTCTTGGCGTGACTCGAAATCGCTTCTAGTTCCGACTGTTTGTGTAATCTTGAATCGGATCTCGGATAAATTGTGATTTTAAACAGCAAGATTTTAAACTGAATCGGATGTTTGTACCTGCAAAATAACATGGATCGCAGATGAGTAGATTTCCTGGCAAGCGTGGATCGCATCTGAAAATGGCCCCTTCCGCCAGCTTACTTTCTGGGCTGATCTCTTGCTCAAATCAGCACAATGCCTCATTTATCGGAAACTGTCGCAGCTGTCATTTACCGAGCAACAGGCTGCCATGGCCGTGCGGTGCCCGCTTTTAGTGCCATACTCTCTCGTTTGTTCCAACCGTGGATGAGATATAGTTTCAACTTCACGAAACATTGGAAATACGACTCGAACACGATAATCTCTGGCGAAAAAGGCCTCCCTATGAGGGATGACTAGGGCCCAGTTTGGCAGGCATCATGGCCATTATGGCCATGATGGGCATTTTTAACGGGCCCCCAAAAAATGCCACCTGGGCATTTCGAGAAACAGCTTCGAAATCGGACTGTAGCTGCAGTGCACCTTCGAAAAAATGGAGCTGAGTGTTTGGTTGGCATTAATTGGATGTAGATTGATGGCATCAATCTAAATTTAGGGTTTCGCCGAAGATGGTAGGCAGCTGCGCTTGATCATGTGATTGGCTGGCAGTCACTTTTGATTGCCCCGAATCACTGATACCCCGCATGGTGCGGGGCCTCGAGGCCGCATGGTGCGGGGTGTCCGAAAATGGGCTCTTTGCTAGGGAGAATGGGGTCGCTCTGGAAACGGTGGGTTGGAAATGCCATCGGATAACGGGGTGTTTGGTTGGCATTCCATTATTGTAGGTTCGGCTTAGTCCGCTTATAACGAACCTTGATAATATTTCACACGCTTATCAGGGAAGGTTCCAGGGTGGTCGGTTCACTGTAGCCCATCCCCCTCGCCCGTTTTTTTTATTCCTGCCAAACTGGGCCTAGATTACAGTAATGCACGGGAGGAGTAAATGAAGATGTCTATGGTTCACGACGTCCCTCAGTCATAGTATGCACGGCTGGTCGGCGATATGTTGTACAGTTGCGGTTCCGAATGAACAGCAGAGGCGGCAACGACAATACAATCTGGATAGATAATGCTTTGCAGCATCGCCTTGCAGATGCCTAGAAATTGTGATTCGATCTACCGGTAGACTGAGGATATGGCGACGAGAGCTGAGAGTACAGATGTTTCGGCTTATAGTCCGACGGGTTGAGCCGAAGCGCGTGGACTGTATGCCGAAATTTTCAAACCCCAGGCAAAACGCAATATTTATAGTCCCGTTCAGACAATTTACATGAATAGTGGTTTGTTTGCTAAAATTTTTGGTTTTTGGGCTTTTTCTTAAATTTGGACCGCGCTGGCTTCAACTTCTTGTCACACGCTTCCACGCGCTGATCAATTTCGCATGACCAACGGGAAACAAAAAAAAAACAAAATAAACTATGGTTTGGGGGTCGATTAGAAGGTAAAAACTTCTGTTTTACCCTGTAAACGAGATAAACGTGATGTCATCGTCGAGCGCGCTGGAGACCGCGCAACAGGATTGAGAAGTGATCACGGTCAAGAAAAACAATTACTTAGAATTTGGAGGTTAAATGTCGAATCGATGATCCCTTATCTATAATTTTCTCCGGATGTTGGGATGGTTCAATTTGGAGCCTCTGATTGGCTGCGGAGCTGATTCGTGCAATGATTCGGTCAAGCCTCAAAATTTCCCACCAAAGATGGGACTATAGGGGTCGGGACAACCCTAGGCAATATCGGAAAATTATACTCAAGATGGAAAATGGACTCATCTAGCAATGGCCTTTAACCCGGAACATCTGTAGACAAACTTAGAATCTATTCCTCCTTGCCGCCCAGGCCAACCTCATGCTCGTCCACGCGCCGCGTGGGGGACTCCGAGATTGGCGGGCAGCACCGCCCCGCTCCGTTTCCCAAGCTGGCATCCTTGAGCTCAAAATCCGCCAGTTCAATCCGCCAGCTTAGTACGGTTGGGGTAGGGGACGAGAAGGGGCACCATGGAGGTTAGCAGGCCGGGCCATGGCCTATCAAGGCGATTGGAAGGAGGCGCAAGAGCAGCACAGCAGCATCAGAAGCTGGAGGGTTGTTAGCCGTCTGAACACGTGTCGACATTTCACAAGCTGCCTTCGACACTTCAGATTTCTCGGTCGAATCTCGTGTAATCTTGTCACATTGCGGCCACACGCTATCATGCTCCCGTGTAGTCCTCATTCCTTCACACCCATGCTCACGTGCTTCCAGCTCAGAGCGAATGAGCAACACAGGACGGGTATCCCAAGATCTTCTTCCTCGGATACCCTTGCGTGTGAGAGACGACGCGCGTTGTCGCTCGACGCTAAGGCAAATTGGTTCGATGTGGCATTTCAACTTGGAAATCCGTCGTCGTTCGTTTGAAAGAGACGATAAGGGACAGAAAGCTGCCAGACTGATTTCCAAAGACGACTCGAGAAATAAGCGACAATCGAATCGCTGCGCGACAGATCAAGACTATGCAGCTTCTCGCGACAGTGGGAGGTGGGGTCGAGGCGGTGGGAGCTTGTCTTACATTGCGGAGTTCCCATGGCCACCCATTTCACGCGAGATTGTTACCGGAAGCCCCGGTGCCCCATCGCTTAGTTCCTTTCCATCGTAGCGCCTTGGTGCGGCCCTAGTAAAAGTTTTACCACCCACGTAGGATATGAGCGGAGGAAGAGGAAGGGGTTGAATTGAAGCTACCCAATTCACCAATTCCCTTCACGAATCTGTCATACGTTTATTCCCGCCCCACCGGAGCCGCTTATCTTATCTTAGCCTCTCAGTAGCCTTCAGGCGAAACCTTCTTTGGCAAACCAGAGACGCACTGCTCGACCCTGCGGAGATGGACCACCAAAATTGCGTTCCGGATCAGCTTCAAGCAGCTGGGTGTTTGGCGAATTCTCAAAAGCAACAAAGTTGCGTTCCGGATCAACTTGAAGCAGCAGGCCCTTTGGGGGAGTTGTTGGACCGCCGTCATGATGGCGAGGACTCCAGCATGCGAGCCCTCGCTGAGACGCACAAAAAACCCACATTCGCCGGATATGGACCTTTGCGATGGAGCTCTGGGGCAGGAGGAACCAAGCGGCTAGGGGAAGGCCGTTTGGTGGAGCGTCATGGCGAGGACCCCAGCACATCATGCACATACCATGGATATTTGTCACACTCGAGCTGTGGCGCAGGAGAAATCAAGTCAGCGGGTGAAATCAAGTCAGCGGGTGAAATCAAGTCCGTTGGAGAGAGCATCTGTATGAGCTCGTTATGGGGGTGGCGGCAAGGACTCAACACCACCATTCAATCCAGCATGATGATCATGTACGAGCCTCGGATGTCCACATGCATTCTCGACGCGCAGATATCCAGTCAGGAGGACAGCGGTCTCTTGGAGGAGCTATTGAGGCGCCACGGGCAGGTTGAAGACCCCATCATTGCGCCGCCCTTCGTGGACGGCCAGCCCCGTCCGCTTCTGGAAGACCCCCGAATCTCGAATGAGAAAGCCAGTCAATGGGTGAGGCGCCATGACCCACTTGAATGTCCCACTACGGTTCCCTTCATGCTTCCGCCTTGCTTGCCGATGCATCCCCGTGAGTCAGCGGCTCTTCGGTCCCGTTCAAACGCTTCAACGGATTCTTCTAAAGTCCCCCGTTTGGAAAGAGTCGTGGCTGAGCTTTTGGAAGAGGAGCAACGGCAGCAGCAACAGCAGCAGCGACAGCAGCTGCACTGCTGGCAGCAGCAGCAGCAGCAGCAGCAGCAGCAGCAGCAGCAGCAGCAGCAGCAGCAGCAGCAGCAGCAGCAGCAGCAGCAGCAAGTGGCAGTGGAGAGGTGGATTGCACAGGCTTTAAGCACCTCCGCGCCAGAGAGGATTCTTGAGGCGCCTCAAAGGCTGAGCTCCTCCGCACCAGAGAGGATGATGTCTGTCCCAGGCTCTGGCGGTATCAAGTCCATTGCTGGCGATGCAA